ATAAACATAAATGATACTATCGTGAACTGCAATAAAATTTATTATACATAATTATAGATCAATTTTCTTAGATTTAATATATATCCATTGTGCAATATTTCTTTTTCTAATTACAAAAATTTTTCTTAGAAGTAGCTTATAACAATTTACATCCAAAAATCTCGATAGTAAACCTTTTATTAGGTTCAAATAATCCGTTCCACGAATTACAAGATTATTTGAACCTAAGACAAGGAATCCAATCAAAAACGTGGCTCTGAAGCGACCAATCTGTACAAATTCTCACCTTTTCTCGAGTATACGTGATCGTTTCTTATCGAAAATTATTAATTTTACGGCCGAGTTGGACGTGCTTCGGCACTTTTGTCATTGTATAAACGGTTTTGTAGCTTTGCACAGGTGGCTGACTCGTAAAGGAAACGAGCATCGCCATTGTACGTGCCAACGTTGATCGGCGTCTTCGTCTCGTGAAGAGAGGTGGAGAGGCCATGATTCCAACAGAGGGAGAGTTTACCCCCGATTATAGTTACGCATTCGTAAGAATCATGTTAAATCTGGTATGCAATGGGCATTATGCTCCTTGAACAATCGATATTCTCTGGGCAGTCTGTCGTTGTCTGTCGGTTCACCAGTTTCTGTATCGTGTGCATGTCAAACTTGCCTAATGATTATTCGATACGTTATTTGTATTTTGAATTTTCTTTTCAATCCTGCGGACCAGTTTCTAGAAGGTAAGATCCTTAAACGAGAGTTGAATTGCTGTTGTTACTTGTGACATGAGAATCAGTTGGACCTGATGGATATATTTATTTATGTTAACTGTTTGGAAAAGGTATAAACTATATCGAGGATGTAGTAAAGAAGAAATGAAGTAAGTGCAATTTCGTTTTATAAATAATGATCAAATTTCAGAAAAAAAGATCTATCGAAACTAATTCAATATCTTGGATAAAGAAATATTTTTTTTTAGCATGATAATAGCATGTACAATTAAATATTTCTTAGAACTTTGTAACCTAATTTTAAAATGTTTAAGATTTAGAAACGTATCTCGATAAATCAGTATGTTTATTATCAATTATCAATTATCAACTCATGGTTAAAAGATTTGTTTCGAGAATTATTTAAAATTATATTTTTAAAATTATTTATAATACCAATCTTTATTTTCCAAATCTATTGAACGATAATGTTTCGATATTAATATCGTTTTATAAAAAAAATAGATTAATCTCAGCTTACGTCTTTTTCGATTAACAAAGAGGCCATGGTAAAGTGAAACAAAATCACCATACTTCGTTACAAAAATTATTAATTTTACAACATAATCAATTAATCTGTTAAAATATCGTGAAACCTTTTCGTTTTTTCTCGATGGGACATACGTTTCTTGCAAAGATCTCGAAGGAACCATTAAGAAATTTCGCTTAATTGGTTCGTATCGAAACGAATGATGTTAATGGCGTTGAATTTTTATTTTAGTCTTGCCGCTTTTGTGTAATCGATGGGGAATCTAGGTCGACAATCCGAGACTTTCGGAAATTTTTCTCGTGTTCGGTTAAATTGATACGAACGACAATTAACCCAAATATCGAAATAAAAGAAGGGCGAGCCTGATGGCGGCCAGGTAGTTCTTTAGCCAAGTTTCCGCCATGTATACGCCGTTACTGTTGTTGCAGCTCGTTCCACTCGTGTTCTCGCAAATTTTTTTCACCACGGATCGTACGTACTCGCTCATTGGTCTCCGTACAGCGAAATAATTCAACGAGAACACTTTGAACGCTTGAAATATTTGAGGCGGAAAATATTATTAAATTTTAACTTGTCGCGTGTTCATGCTCTTTTTGCTCGTACTTAGAAAACAAGTTAGAGTGAAAAGAGGTACAACAGAAGTATATCCGTAATTTTTTCGATATTTTAAATAATTTGTAAATTTGTTGATGCTAATATGAATTATATAGTTTTCTTCTAAGCAAATAATATATTTTTAATATAAATATATTTTTAAGTAAAATAATATTTTGAATGAAAAAATTAATAAATTATTTTAAATATTGCAACGTGATAATATATTAATATAATATTTATCTTTAAATCTCTTTTTATTTATTCTTTTTTTTTTTAATCGTACTTTGTGATAACATATGATAAATAAAATAATTTTACTCTGTTAATATTTTTCCGCTAAAATATTGCTTTCTGAATTCTCGTTCGCTCAATTTTTGACTCGTTAAAGCCAAATCAAGTATTGGATATTTTCATCAGAGTGCAATTTTCTCTTCCTCGATTGTTCGATAAGTTCTCGATTTAAAACAAAGGTTCTTAAATTCCGTCGAAATTCATCGAACGAAGTCACACTTTAATTAATAATTTTTTCAACGAGCATACAGGTGGAAACGCAAATTCAACTATTGGTTTTCTTCCAGTTGATGAGGGTCGTATTGTTGGAGGGCAGCCAGCGAGTATCGATGAACATCCGTACCAGGTAAGTATTCTAAATGATCGTTTTCACAATTGGCCAAGATTAATTGGTGAAAATCTGTCGAGCAGAAACGTTTCTTTCGCGGCTTGCGCCAAAACAAGTCATTAAAAACCGATGTACTCTCGTGTACAACGATCGACCAAAGTTTCCGTTCAGTTTACGTTCCTTGGCCAAAGAAAAAGATCTATCAATCTCTTTCTCTCGTTTCTTTTTCGCATTATCCCAAATCCATCTTAAATTTCTCTCTTCAACACATTTTCTGCACATTTTTTCCTTTTTCTAATCACATTACTTGAGAAATTAAATTTTATATACAGAGTATTCCAGTTAGGATGGTGAAAATAAAGAATAAATTTTAATATATCAAATTAAACGATCCTTATCTACACATGTGCACTCATATTAATCTAATAATGGTAATCTATAGTAAAGAAGACAATATTAACAGGAAATATGATCGCGCATATTTATAAATATTTACACAAAAGAATAAAAATATAAGTATACATATGTGATGAATTTTCAAAGTTTGTAAATGTAAATGTAAATACAGATATAATTTCCTGGTCAGAGGATTGGAAAAAATTAATATTATCAGAGTTCTTCGTACATATTTCTCCATCGTGAATTTCACAGCCATTTCCAGATCGATCATCCGCAAAATTGATACACGCTTGCTAAAATTTATAGGTATCCCTTCGATTTCACAATCGTCACGTATGCGGTGGCTCTATCATTAGCGAGCTATGGGTCGTCACAGCTGCACACTGTGTCCAGAGGTACGCACTCTTTTGTTCTCAATTTCGTTAACAAGCACTATCGATCTCGTCATAGTACTAGCACAAGATCCTCGTTAATGAGCATTCCTTCGATGATTTCAGCTTCTTTGTTCGATCCATTTCGATCAAGGTAGGTACTTCCGACCTCACCGACACCAATGCCACAGTGATCAACGCGGCAGAAATTATCATTCATGAGAGGTATGAGAGAAGAAGCGCGGATTTTGACATTGCTTTGATTAAAGTGAGTATTATTTGTCTGAATGTATCTTTCATTTTTTTTATTTTCGCGTTTATTTCATCGATTTTGATGGAAAGATAGATCATGAAATTGCATTTTTTAAAATGTTGTTTTTGTAATTTCTATTTTTTCGTATCTTTTATTTTCTTTTAATAATTTTTCAATACTTATATTATTTTTAAAATATTCTCATCTTCTTTTTTATATATAGTTACAAAAAGTATTTGTACATCGTTAAATTTATCATAACACATTCAATTTGATTGAATTATTCGTGTCACTTAAGAATATTCTTACATGATTACAAAAATGATATAAAAATAAAGTATAGAATTTGATATAAAAAAAATAATTTTTATAGCTACTTTATCAAAAATCAAAAAATACACAGTGTATACTACTACTTTAGGTGAAGTAGCAACACTGAGAATATCAATTAATTGTGAAAAATAATTTTATCAACGAAATAAATTTAAAGTGATTAAAAGATATGACAAAATTAGGCTTCCATCGATCTCTTTTTCGACACTTAATAAACCAACCAACTACAATTTCAGTTAAGAAAGCCATTGGTGTACAATTCGCGAGTGGAACCAATTCTATTGGCGCCGTTAGCCGATCATTACATGGCTGGTAGCAAGGCGATGGTTACAGGTTGGGGAGCTTTGAGAAGCAACGGTCCACTGTCGACGAAATTACGCAAAGTCCAAGTACCACTCGTTTCTAACGTCCAATGTTCTCGATTGTACATGAACAGAAGGATCACATCGAGAATGATTTGTGCCGGTTACGTGAATGTCGGTGGCAAGGATGCGTGTCAGGTAATCGTGTCGTTAATCATCTCTCGGCACGTGGGACATTAATTTCTTTTTAATATTACCATTAGATTGTTTTGTTTCTGGATTTTCGATAAAATTAGATAAGAAATTTGGTCGATCGATCCAAAATGAGGTAAATAGATAATAAAGATAAATAAATAAATAGATAAAGAAAAAATCAATACAAAAAGGTAAATGATAATTATAAAATTAAAGTTCGATATGTAATAATATTATCTTTATTATCATATATCGAACTTTTTATTATTCAGTAAATTTTTTTCGATTAATTTTTTATATAATGTATAATTTTAAATTTTACAGCTTAATTTAACATTTAATTTTAATTCGAATTTATATTTTTTAATATAAAAATAAGAAGAAGCAAGATTTTATTAGAAACTCAAGGAGTGTATGATTAAGCATGTAGAATCTCATATAGATGCTTGGTCGTTCTATTTTAATCGACCTTGATAAAGATAATTGAACGAACTGAAATAACGAAGAGATCATTAAAACGAGAGCAATTAGATTAACGTCAATCTTGATATTTTATCATTTGAATATTCCACTTGTATAAAATTTTAGAAATAATAAAAAAATTCTATAATAATCTTAAAATCAGAAAATAATTAATATAAAGATATAAATATTTACAAAAAGATATCACCAATTCCGATGATTTTTTAATATGTTGTCAAAATCAACATATTAAATGATATTGTGAAGATTTTATTAGCTCGTTGTTTATTAAAAAGTTATTAACAAAAACAATTTAGATAGATTAAATTAGATAATACAAACCATGAAACTAAATAAATTAAATAAACTTTTGTTCCATACTAATTAATTTATATTAATTCATTAAATTCATTAATTTCTAAAATCGAAATTAAATAAAAACTCATTTAACTATTATCTGATTTAAATATACATTAAATTTGGACTAATTTTTTCTTAATCCATGAAACTATCAATTTTTAATAGCAATAAATCTGATTAAAACTAATCATTATCTGACTTAATCTAATTTAAACTATTAATAATTGAATGATAAGAAATGAATTTTTATTAATAACAACGATAATAAAATTTTTACAACTCAAAATGATAATATCGATATCATATTAATGAATCATCAAGATCAGAGATATCTTTTCGTAAATCATCAGTGTAAATTACAATTTTAAACAGAAAGATAAAACTGGATATCACTTTTTCCTCCGCTTAAAAAATAGATAATTAAATAATTATCGTTTGCTTCTCGAATGAAATCGTATTATTTCCACAGGGGGATAGCGGCGGCCCATTGGTGCAACACGACAAACTGATCGGAATTGTTTCGTGGGGGTTCGGTTGCGCGCGGCCATCTTATCCAGGCGTTTACACGCGTGTGACAGTTCTCCGAAGTTGGATTACTGAGAAAACTGGTCTGTGAGCGTTTTGTGTTTATCCTATGCGCGAGCACGAAACGTTATTGAACCAGCTACGAACTCGGAAATTTTTCCTGCAAACATTTCGCCTCGTTACTTTACTCTCGTCATCTTCTTTGTTTGCGAAGAGAGTTGCTCGGGTTTCACGAAAAACCCCCTGGGATCGTGGTTGGTTTTTCGCTATGGCGGTATGATGTGACCTCGACATATTGAAATATTATATTATATTTTTCCACCGTAATTATATCTCAAATTACTCGACGGTAAATGATCTTTTCACTCGGTCAATTGCCAAGCACGAATCATAAATATCAATTATTTAAACTCTTCCTTCAATTTTTTACATATAATCGTCAATACGACTTGATTTGTATGAGTTTTTCGAGAAAATAATCCTGTTATAATCCTGTTCTTCGAAATTTTCGTTTGAAATTCTCTTTCGAGAAAGAAAGATCTTGAGAAGAATTTTGAACTCGAGACAGAGAATAAAATACATATCAATAATGATTCTTTTATATCTCGTATATTTGAAAATAAGACTTTCAAGAGCAACTTATTTTCATCGTTAACATTAACGTTACATTTAGAGTAAAAATTATCAAAGCAATGTCTGCAAAAAATAACTTTTAAATTTTTTATTTTTATTTAAAAAATAATCTGAAGAACATATATATTGATCTATAATTGAATCGGTTGTCTCTCATTGAAAGTATCCCTTATTTTGGTCATGCTTTCAGCATGAAAATACTATCAGTTTGTTAATGAACGAGTTGTTAGAACGTGAAAACAACGAACAGCTGGACCATTTCTCCGTTTTATGGAACTTTGGTGTTCGTTACAAGGTATTCGATGAAAACCGCTAATTAGTTTGCTCGACGATCGATAGATATTTCCCAGCTTTAATTCGCGATTTATAAATAGCTCGTGTAACAGATGTCGGGAATTTATCGCGCTTTTGAAAAAAAAAAAAAAAATAAAAAAAAGAAGTAGATACCACATTTCGCTTAAAATTCGAACGAAATTATTCCTCTTCTATTGCAACAAGCGTGCAGATATATTCACGGGCTCAATGAAACGAAAATGCAATGAAAGATGCAGAAATTTCTCAAAATTTCCCCTTTTACTGGCAACTTCGAAAACTTCCGTTCAATAAAATGAAACCGTACATTTGTATAAAATGGGGATAGGAAAAGAATCGTTCATGAAGAAAGAGGAAACGAAATGTAGTTACAAATGTAGTTATATATTTTCATGAAATTCTTTTGTAACATTTATAAAGTGACAACGCTTTGACATTTATGTATCTGAGATCAAAAGTAAAGTTAATTTTTATTCCAAAATTCAATTGGCATTTTTTCTTGTTTATTTTATCAGAATAATTGAAAAAAATTCACTTTTTCATTGCAAATAGCAAAAAGTATGAACAATTTTTAAATCTAATACAATGGTGCCAGAAAAAGTTTGACAATTGAAATTTTGAGGGATAATAATGGGAATTCAATTGTATCCACATTATTTGGATAATAAAAAATATTTAATAAATTCTTCTTCTCACACTGATGATACAATGCAAATAGAATAATTTTTATTTCTTCATTTTTAATATTAAAATTATTATTAAAAAAAAAAAATACTATTTTTAATCACTATTTTCCTCAGATATTTTCTGACTCCATAATGCAAATGTATGGTGATGATATTGCAGTTAAGGAAAAAGAGTGTAGTCAATCTCAATTTTACAGATTTACAATGACGAGGTGGAAAAATTTCATCTCACACCCCTCGCCCGGCATACCTTTAAAACTATAAGAGGCTTTGATCATGCCACGTGTTTCTGATAAAGCAATGTTGACATTGCTAGTTTCGCGAATATCATCTTATATATAGTGGATACCGGAATTTGCCGAGATCCACGCTAGGTAACTGCTGACACGAGTGTATACGCCCGGATGTATCATAGTTTTACACCCTAATCCATAGGATAGAACGCCAATCAGAGTCTGCCCTTCCATCAGCGGAGCACCTGGATCACCCTGCAAGCAGACAAGGGTTGACAGTTTCAGTGATTACTTGTACTCTGCCCTATCTCTTTCTCATTCTACGCTTCCATCCGTACACTTTCATGACTTTATCCACCTCTGAGTTTCGTTGATACGATCGACGATTCAAATATTCATAGAGCACGAACTAATTATTGGATTGGATATATTATGAGGAAACATTCTGTGTGAATTAAAATGAAACTTGTATGTATTATCGGAAATGTTTATCGGATTATTGAGATTTTTATTTTTTATAGAGGAAAGATTTTTTTATGGAGAATGCAATAAAAATATCATAAGATAAAAAATGTTGATAATATAATGGAAATTATAATACTGGAATAATAGAATTTTATATTATGTGCATATATATATATTTATAGAATTCAATTAATCGGTAATTATTCTATCGATGGACAAATGTTAAATGTAGTGATAAAATTGAAGATAAACATAAGAATAGTTTATAGTACGACAAGAAAAAATTGGCAAAAAATGAAAATAAAACAATTGCTCTTTAACTCTTATAAAGTGATACTGAATCGTTTCGAATTGGAAAATCTGTCATTACCATCCGTCTATACAGCATTCGTCAATAACCTGAAACACGAAACGAACGAAAAAACAGTCATCGAAAAACGAATCAAAAAGTCCAATTAGTTTGCTCCGTTTAAACCGTGTTCGCGTTCAAAAAAATCAAATGTTTCAAAAATTGCCCCGTGTCTATCTATCAAGACAAATTATACAATCTTGATCAAATTGTACGTTTAGTGAAGTGTTATCGTAGGAAGAAAGAGAGAAACGAGAGAAAGGGAGAGAGAGAAATGAAAAAAAAAAAAAAAAGAAAAAGAAAGAAGAAAAGGATATGGAAT